CCCGTAAGGTGGAATGCTCGTTCAACGTCCGTTTAACCTGCAGCTTCTTATGCTCCCATCGATTAGAAGAATGGTATCCGAATGGCATGACATGCCATAAGTGATGCGCCGCCCAGCATCCACCATGTCACCCGTGTTCTACGGAAATACTGAAATCATTCCGCGTTATCTGTCGATTGGTTTCAAGTATTCCGTGAGAACGCGTCTCCTCAGGAGTGAAGTTAAGATCCCTCAGCAACCGGATCAGAAAGACTTTTCCGCTAGGTTCGCAACTGACAGCTGACTGCACCATCGGTATAGGACCTGTAACATGCGGACACGGCAAAACACCATGCACGCCTCTGGAAACATCTCACTGAATGTGCTGACTTTTTGCGCGCATTTGTCTACCGCAATATTTCGCAAGGATACTGTGCATGGAAGCATTGCACGCGCAGCTGTTACCGCCTCCAAATAACTCACCGTCGTCTCATTTGGTAATAAGGAGTAAAAAGGATATCCCCACCCCTTGCCGTCAACGACCATGCACCACCATAGATTGTAGCCCCCGTAATTAATCAGATGCGTCGAATCTGCCAGCATAACCCCCGTATCGTGCAACAAACCTCCGAACGCACGCAGGTACCAAGAGCAGGAACCGCAACTCCAACCGCTCCCTCACAACAGTACATTAACCTTCGTTTTCCAACATAGTAGTTACAAGTTCCACCTCACTAACTTGCTACGCCTAACTCAGGTGCTTTAGCTGATTTAATCATGTCTGCTAATACGGATGCCATGGTACGATTTCATCATCTTAAATACCGCCGCCTTTTGTACTGCTTTAAGCTGCCGATTAGCAGGATAAAGCCGCGGTATTCCCAACTGGAACAAATGCAAACGTCTCAAGCAAGCGCGGCGCATCTCATAATACCTGCCTTTCGGTACCACGGAAAATCGAGCCTTGCCATTGTAGCACCTGTAATTAAAAGCTTCAACAGCAAATTATCGTGCATCGTATCCTTTCGTTTTCACCTTCTTACGCTTGCTACGCACAAACTGTTATTGAATAAATCGACAAAGGAAAACATCAGAGAGATCGTTTCCAGTCCTTTGCTTATGATCCGCTGTCGTAATCACGACGCATCTATAAAACGAGCTTGTATTTCCGCTTTGGAACCTCATCAATTCCAGTTTAGAACTCATCAATTGCTTCGTAACCACCAGTTATCACCCAACGAAAAGCTGCGGTATCACGCTGCATGGTGTAATATATTCCGAATGGCAGGTTCGGGACACGGAAGAGTAGTCCCGCCTAAAAACGAACGGCACGTGAGAATCAGCGACCGAGTAACTAACATAGTAGGACGTGCGAAACGGCAATCATGCAAGACGACGATGCTCTACGGAGTCGACCTCGAGGTCAAGCAAGCTGGACCGAGACAGATGTATTTAACAGCGCGGCATGCGAATAGCCTGGTATCCGATCAGCAGGTATTTAAACAAAGAGTTTACAAGGAACAGGTACTGGGGCTTGGCTTTTGATTCCCTTCATTCATTGGGCATTTGGTCCGCCAAGCCCTGTAAAAATAAGCAAAGGAGACATAAGTAATGACGGTCAATTTAAACAATACATTGCGGTTCCAACTGTAATACATTTTCTCCCCTTCCAATTGAGGCACTGTCCCCACTGCCAGCGCACCTGGAACCACAGCGGGGCCCCCTCAGCTGGCGCTTCTACAGTGTGTTCGACTATCGGGAGACAACCGGGTGGCACGAATCTATCTACAGGCGTAGAACTTGAAGACGGTGTCATCGGTTTCAGTTGGTTGTAATGAACAGTCAGTACGTCGGCTTTTGGATCCATAACATTTCGAAGCACATACACGGTAGGCGAGCGTACGAACACTAACTCATATGGCTCCTGCCATTCCCGATGGAATTTTCCTGGTGCGCCAGCTGGAGGTCTTGGTCGGTGTAGCCATACACGGTCACCTTTTCGGTATTCAGGGCCTCGACTTTGGCGATCGTAATACTCATTCTGGCCGTGTTGCGCTCTGTTCATATGCTCCAGCACGCTTTGAAATGCTGCCCGGAGTCGCTCACGGGTTTTGGGGACGGATTCCGACAAAGAGTAAGCGTCAACCGAACAGAGAAGTGATAGTAATTCTGGAGGTAAGCGAATCTCCCTGCTGAGAGTAAGGTAAGCTGGAGAATAGCCGGTTGTGGAGTACTCCCAGGCCCGATAGGCAGGCATACATGGTGTCAATGCTTCGTCCCACTGATTGGACTGATGGCGTTCGACGAAGCTCTGAAGGATAGCCTTGATAGTTCTGTTGGTCCGCTCAACCAGTCCATTTCCTTGTGGATGATACGGTGCAGTTCATGTTTTTTAATGGCTAGCAAGCGGCTCATTTCTTGAATTATATAAGTCCCGAAAGCCGCGTCCTGATAGGAGTGCATGGACATGGGTGCGCCATAACGAGCCACCCACGGGTTGACGATGGTGGAAGCGACAGTGGATGCATTTTGGCGTCTGATAAGTGGTGCCTCGCACCATTTTGTGAAGTAATCTATCATAACTAGTATGAAGCAGTTCCCGTTCTTTGTTTTCGGCAAAGGATCAATGATATCTACGCCAATTCGTTGTCCTGGTGCGGAAGTAATTATTGGTTCCAAAGCAGCACGAGACACAGGCACCATTGGTTTCAAAGCAGCAGAGAGCTCACATGACGCACCGAATTGAACGACATCGGCGTGGATGCCCGGCCACCAATACCGTTGTCGAACTGCAGCATCCGTTTTCAACTGAGCAGAATGGCCTAATTGTTGATGAACTTTTTGTAGTATTCCAAGAGATCGAGTCATCGGAGTAATCAGTTTCGGACCGGATTTATCAACGCGATACAGAACACCGCCGACGATTCTCAAGTCCTTCCAGTGCCCGAGTAGGGAGCGCTCTACTGTGGTACGTTCACGAAGTTCAGTTCCAGTGGGTTTCGAGGAGCCATTCAGCTGTCGGTTGTAGGTGTTAGCTGTGTACGGGTCACATGCTTGCTCTTCGGCCCAAGCAATACCGGGCTAGGGTTACGGAAGCCGAATTGACCTGTTCGGATCTTACTAGCCTTGATAGCGCGTCTGCAGTAGATTGTCGTGTCCCGGGACGATATTCGCAGGTAAAATCGTGTCCATAACGCTGTTTCTGCCATCTTGCTATCTGACCCTCCGGCTCATGAAAGTTCTTTAACCACTGAAGTGACTGGTGATCGGTGCGAACCTGAAATGACTTTCCAAATAGTTACGGCCTAAAATGTCGCAAAAAGCTAACCAGCGCCAAGAGTTCCCGTCGAGTGCTGCTGCGCTTTCCCTCGCGTTTATCTAAGCGGCGACTAGCGTAGGAGAGCACAACTTCGCCCGCCGGAGTTCTCTGGGATAAAACTGCGCCGATCGCTTCATCGCTCGCATCTGTATCCAACACAAAAGCTCCCGACTCTGGTGAGGTGTCAGGGAGAGCCAAGATTAAGGGTGTCGAAAGATGAACTTTTAACTTTGCAAAAGCATTCTGACATCCGTTAGTCCAGCAGAATTTTCGTCCCTTCTCAGTTAAACGATATAAGGGGCTGAGATGGCAGCAAACTTAAAAATAAACCTTCGATAGTACGAAGCCAATTCCAAGAAACTGCTGAGTTCTGCTGTCGTTTTAGGTTGTGGTCAGGAAGTAACTTTTTCACATTTGGCGGGGTCGGTCCTCACACCTTCATGGGAGATAATGTGCCCTAAGTACGTAACTTCACGCAAGAGAAAATGACATTTTGGACCCCGTAGCTTCAAGCACGCCAGGCGCAGCCGATCCAGTATGAGGCGCAGCCGCCGGTTATGCTCCTCAGTCGATCGCCCATAAAAGATTATGTCGTCCAAATAAATTAAACAGCGACCTGGTGTCAGACCCTCCAGGGCTTTCTGCATTAGTCTCTGAAACGTAGCCGGAGCATTAACCAGATCAAAAGGCATCGTTTCAAATTCATATATACCTTTGGGAACGGTGAACGCCGTTTTCTCACGATCCTTGGGTTTTACTTCTACTTGCCAGTAACCACATGCAAGTTCCAACGTAGCAAACCAGCATGAACCATGGAGTGCATTGAATGTGGCATCAATACGGAGCAATGGAAATGAATCTTTACCTGTTACCTCGTTATGCTTTCGATACTCAACACAAAGCCGCAAGGTCCCATCTTGCTTCTTCACCAACACGATTGGCGACGCCCACGGGGACGATGAAGGTTTACTTATACGTTTGTCCAGCATCTCTTTGATCATTGACTCTAACTGCGGTTCGTAATGAACTGGTAACCTACGCGCATGTTGACGAATAGGTCGGTGGAACATGGTGTCAATCTCATGTTCAACTAGGTTCGTACGGCCAGGAGAAGCAGCTGTCTAAAACACCTTTTCAAATTCTCGTAGCATTGAGATTAACTGGTCAGTGTTGTCTGTAGTAACGTTAGTGCGTCCAGTAATTGGCTCAATGACCTCCTTTTGGAGGTGCGTTGCTAGTGAAGACGCGGCTGCGATAGTCTACGCTCGTCGACCGTCCTGCAGTTGATCAATGACGGTTGGCGCAGGACTAATCAAAACGGTCCCACATCCGAGTGCCACTGTACAACCACGATGGGGTGGAAATCCATTCCCAAAATGGCGTCTCAGGTCAAATTTCGACATGCTATAAAGTTATGCGTGGCTACTACCCCATCAAGTTTTACGCGTGCCGGTAGTTAAAACTCTGATCGCAACTCCACCCCATTGGCGGTGATAACACGAGGCTGCTGCCTGGTAACCGTGCACAAGTTCCTAAGGCTGTGGGCTATATCAAGCCGCCGTAGAGAACACCAAGCACCAGTATCAATCAAAAAAATGCACGTTACTATCATCTAAACACCCAGGTGTCGTCAATGGTTTAGGGTGTAGATTGCTAGTGAAAGTTGATGCCAGAAACTGACAATTGTGCAAGGCTGACCTACCTCGGGGTTTACGAAAAACGATGGGTGGGTTGTGTCCACAGCGCTGGGCCCGTTTGCCGAACCGCTGACAGTATACACAGTTCTCCACGGAGGATTTTTGTACTGGGGTATGGTGCCTGTGATCAGCTACGAAAACATCGGTCGATGGGCGTAAAGTTGAACAACTATCATGACCAAGATGGATTCGGTCAGTTTTGACTTGCTCCAGAAATTCCCGATTCCTGGCCTTCTCGCGAAAGTCCTCCAGCGAACGAGGAAGTTTCAATATATATTTGTCACGGAGGTATTGATCGCGCAGGCCCATCGCGAACCGCTCACATATCCACTTTTCCAGCTCTGTGAATTGAAGATCTGGAAACCCTTTGTGAGCCAAAATTCGGAGGGCTGCGAGGAAGGCATCTGCGTTCTCTGAGGGTAGCTGACGCCGAGTGAAAAATGTGTCACGGTAGAACGCAATAGGGTGGCATTTGGAAAACAAGTTTCGGAGAGTGGTCCAGATCTTTTCCACTGGTGAATCAGCAGGTACGCTCATTGTTAAGAATATCTGCAACGCATCTTCGCTTAAGAAACTGTGGATAATCGAGCCGAGTGACCTCTCTGGCGCTGTAGCAATGTACGCGTTGACTTGAAAGTATTAACTTTCAAAGTCATCATCCGGACTGACAACACGCGGTTTGCGACTGAGGGATTGGATCTGCAAACTTCTGTCCCAGACACAACACTCAATCTTCGGTGGGCTGAAATCAGTTTTACTCACACTTGTAGAACTGCCCGCGCCGCCAAATTGTAATATATTCCGAATGGCAGGTTCGAGACACGGAAGAGAGGCTCCGCCTACAAACGAACGGCACGTGAGATTCAGCGACCGAGTAACTAACACAGTAGGACGTACGAAACGGCAATCATGCAAGACGACGATGCTCTACGGAGTCGACCTCGAGGTCAAGCAAGCTGGACCGAGACGGATGTGTTCAACAGCGCGGCATGCGAATAGCCTGGTACCCGATCAGCAGGTATTTAAACAAATAGTTTACAAGGAACAGGTACTGGGGCTTGGCTTTTGATTCCCTTCATTCATTGTGCATTCGGTCCGCCAAGCCCTGTAAAAATAAGCAAAGGGGACATAAGTAATGGCGGTCAATTTAAACAATACATTGCGGTTTCAACTGTACTACAATGGCGGAAGACACAAAACGCGCCAAAATGTACAAGCTAAATCACGCAAATAAACAAAACACTTAAACTGCCTTCATTCCTTAACCAAAAGGTAAATAGAAATTACCCTTAACTTTCGTTACCGTTTAGATGACTATACAACATCCAAACTACGTTAGCATGTTTACCATGACAGCACTAATCATCCGTCACGGGCAACTTTACTCGCTTATCGTTGGAAGGTCGCTTCGTTTTAAAGTCCTACGGGAAATTAAAATTTGGCTAGCTGAACTAACAAATACTCCTACGACAAGGATTTAAATAAAGTTTGGTATTTAATTGGTATTTAGTGGTAATATTAGATATCGTCATTATAGTGTCTAACAGTTGGAAGACGTTGCTTAGACGAGCATATATTTAGGCGTTTTTCTATTTGGGGGAATACCAACGGTTTTATTTCACCGGCAGTCCTTAGTCTAAAATGCAATCCTGCGCCCTGCTTTGTGTTTTGTAACTCTCAGCGTTCATTAGAAAATCTATCCCATAGATTACCTGGGTGATGTTATATATACGACAAAGATGTCTAGATATGTTCATGATAGTTGTAGTATTCCACCAGACGTTTCGCGTTCAAAGCCGAAGTGCTGGGGGTTGAATTTTACTTTTCGGTACTAAACACTGAGCGCACGTTAAGTGAAGTCATCTAGCTTTCGTAGCACCTAAGCTGACCTTTAGCCTTTTGCGCAAAGAAGGATGAATTTCTTACTACCATCGACCTTCCACGCTTTTGCCATTCTTTAGTTCACTCGTGCAAATTTCTTATGCCAATAGCGTCGGGACAACAGAACTCATCTGTTCAAGGAAGCATCAGATTATTTACTTCCGTTGCGCTCGCCTGATCGCTTCTCTTTGTTTCATTAACAGGAATTGAAGCAAGTGCGACTAGTAATGAAGCACACTGGCGTCTCCTATACGGATAAGCTTAAACTCGCATAATGAATAACTTCTAACATAACGTATTCGGGATGAGGACGCAACTTACAATTCTTCATTAGTCTTTCAGGCTGCCTCCAGATGGCACACGCTGAGCTGGTTACCTCCAAGAGCTGACAAGAAAGACATTCTATTTTGCAAGGGGAATACTCGAAAGTCTACGTCGCAGCGTACACTTCGGCTTAAAATCATACGCGGATTTAAACCGCATCTTTTTACCATAAGCATATTATGTTTTATTACTTTCCTGCAGACGAACAACACAATATGATATCTGAGCTTGACCATATAAAGTACAGGCAAGTGCTTTCTTCAAAAATGCTAAACGTAACCAGGTAAGGCTAATCAAATAATGGCTACTCAGGAGCTGAAGAAAGGTTTGGCTGAAGCAATTTCCGTCCAACAACAGTAGCAGATAATTCATCTGCCTCTACCAAACACCCGCCGAAGAGCTTATAGTGGAAGGAAGACTAGTCTTAAACTACGTCACCGAAAGAAAGGGCTTAGTGTCAGATAAAAGTATCAACACGCTGAATTTAAGTAGCGACGGCTGGACTAACCACTGATATTGCACACTCCCTGATACGGTATCCCAGTGTAAGTACCGCGTAGCTCAGATGCAGGAAAGCACAACGCGCCGTGCGGGGTCGAGGATTGCATATGAAAAATTGGCCAACTAAAACAACTGTACAAGACGCATAGAAAAACGAAATGAGAAAGGCGCAAAAGGTGAACAAGCTATGAACACTGCAGCACTCCTCCCGCTAGGGCGGGAGTGGGCAAGCGCATGCTCGAAATATATGTCTCACTGACTGTAAAAAGCCAGTTCAGAAGGTCGAACCACGGTACGAGCAAAACGTGTGCGTTTGTGTGTGAGAGTGGTTGTAGGGGGTTGCAGGGGGTTAGCAAGAAAGGACAATGGGATCACACATAGGCCATGTAGGAGGAGTGCTGGGCGATGAATCATCACCGGGAACAGATGCGCCTGAAGATGGCTGAGATGGAAGAAGTTCTATGTAAGCAGGTTTCAAACGATCGATGCTTACCGAATCATTGCAACCAGTTCGGTCCAACACAAAATACTTGTCCTTGCGTTCGATAACCTTGTAAGGACCCCCGAGGGTGGCGTCAGATGTTTACGAACAGTATCGATGCGCGCAAGCACGTAGTGATAGGCACGGAGATCAGGATGGATCTGTGGGTTACGAGGCGTGAGTCGTGGAGGTGTTGGGCGTACCGAGTTGAAGTGACTCCTCAGACGTGTGATGTAGGATGTGATCCATTTCTCCAGTGACCCCCTGAATCCAACACCATCTCTCCAGGAAGTCTAAGTGGCGTGCCTAACACTAACTCAGCATGGCAACAGCCTATATCTTCCTTGATCCTGTTATGTATGCCAAGCAGGATTATTGGAAAGCGCTTCGACCATTGCGTGCTCGACTAAGAAGCGGTAATCGAAGCTTTCATTTGGCGATGGAAGCGTTCGACCAAACCATTGGCCGTGGGGTGGCAAGCGGTGGTGCGCATGTAAGAACTTAGGTCACGAAACAACCAATAAGTGAACTACGGACCTCTGCCTGTCGTGGTAGTAGCAGGTATGCCAAAGCAGGATATATACGTTTTGATGAATGTTCACGCGCCGACTAATCTAGTCTCGCTAGATCAGCCATTTGTTTCCACTTTTACTTAGAGTTATTCCACGTTACAAACCTTGGTACGGTTGACTCGACGTCTTGATCACATCACCTGGAAAGCCTCGTGGGATCCCTCACTACTTATCAGTAAACCTTTTCATACCGACCATAACCTTTTCTCATCTCGCTTTCTGTTTTCATTCCCCTTTTTAATCGGACGACCAGCTTTACTGCCATGCCGTGATCCTGTCTCACTGGAGTAGTCTGTTTATCTCTGACTGCTTCCATGATACCGAGCCTTGGACGGTATTGGCTCCGCTGAGTCAAATCTACTACCCCTACTCTGAGGGACTTATAGACTGGTACCCTCATTATTGTTATAGCCTCATTCTTATCTGCAATGTACGACCTAGTACTAAAGCGCCGATTAATCCAATACCGCTTAGTTGGCCTCGTATTCACTGAATTCATTTGGACTTCTGAGACATCACTTCTATCGGTTTGGCTGACCTAATGGTGCTGCTTACACTACTTGGAGAACCTCGTGGGCTTTTCCACTCTTTACCAATAAACCATTCTCACCGCGACCCTAACCTTTTCTTCTCTCGCTTTCTGTTTTCAGTCATTTTTAGCCGTAAGTCAGGCTTTGTCGCATTGCCCTGATCATGGATCACCTGCCTGGTCTGTTTCCCCCAGTCTGCTACTATGCTATTAAGACCTACGCGGTATGCGCCCCGTAGTCTTAACATGATGTTTCCCTTAAATTTAGCGCCTGCTTGGCTTGCCCACCATCTAATGCTGGCTCCTTTCTTACCTTTTCCACATGTCCTTATCCAAACGCGGCGACTAATCAAGTCTTACTCGATCGGCCTCCAGCTCTCCGGATTCATTCAGACTTCTGAGACTTCGCCTCTCTTTGTTCATCTGACTCCAACATCCCTTTACATTACCTAGAGATCCTCGTGAACTTCTCCCACCCATCGTCAATAAACCTTTCCCATTCTGACCTAAACCCTTAATATCGCGCTCTGCTTTCATTTCTTTAATTGGATTGCACCATCTTACTGCTCTGAGGTGATCTAATCCCACTGATTTGCCTCTTTCTCTTTTATGCTCCAATGCTACTCTGACTTAAGTGATATGGGCTATGCAGACTCAACGCTCTTGTCCCCCTACCCGGAGATTCTGCTTGACGCTCACTCTCTATTGTTGCGGACTTTTACCTGTCTTTAAATTTACGCGTTATTCCTACGCGCCGACTAATCTAGTTTCGCTAGATCAGACACTAGTTTCCACTTTAATTAGAGTTATTCCACGTTACAAACCTTGGTTCGGATGACTCGACGTCTTGCTCACATCACCTGGAAAGCCTCGTGGGATCAATCACTACTTATCAGTAAACTTTTTCATACCGACCCTAACCTTTTCTCATCTCGCTTTATGTTTTCAATCCCTTTCTTATCGAACGTCCGGCTTTACTGCATTGCCGTGATATTGGCTCACTTGCCTAGTCTGTTTCCCTCAGTCTGCTACTATGCTATTAAGACCTACGCGGTATGCGCCCCGTAGTCTTAACATGATGTTTCCCTTCAATTTAGAGCCTGCTTGACTTGCTCACCATTTACCGCTGGCTCCTTTCTTACCTTTACTACTTGTCTTTATCCACACGCGCCGACTAATCAACTCCTACCCGATCGGCCTCCTGCTCTCCGGATTTATTCAGACTTCTGAGACGTCACCTCTCTTGGCT